CCCCAAAACCCCAAAACCCCAAAACCCCAAAACCCCAAAACCCCAAAACCCCATTCAATTTTAATATTTTTGAAAATTACAAAATATATTTAAAATGAAGGGGAATATTTTCACAACCACCCAACTAGCTTACTTATCCCAAGTGTTCTTTATATTTTCAGAGGGCAAGCAGATCATGCATCCGTATCAGCTCTTCACTTTGTGCAAGAAGTGAGAATTGTACCCAAATGTCTTAAAGTTTGAAAAGATAAAATAAAATTATCCTTAAAGATGACCAATATTGGAAAATAAAGGAAGCAAAAATCAAGCGTTCTGGCAATTTTACCTTCAATGGCTTCGTTCAGGCACTGCATATCATTGCTAACACTGGCTTTGAGAATATTAAGGATGATCTTACATTGAGAATTCCGAAATTATTTAAACATATACAAGACGCAATGGCCAAACATCAAGTCACTGCTTCAGAGAAGCTCAAGGACAAACTAAGGCTGATTGATTCTAAGGATCGTAATAAGATATTGAACAAAGAAGCCTCTGATCTCTTTATCACCTCTGGAAGAAGTGGAGGATCGACTAAGAGCTCCAGAGCTAAATCTAAGAGTAACAGTCAGAACCGTAGAAGCAGGAAACGTAAATCATCCCAGAGGAAAAGAGGAAGAAGAATGACCAATGAAAGAAATACTCCAGGTGGCCTCAATAATTCTTTCTTTACTAGTGGAGTTAGTGAATCTAAAAACTCCTTACCTGCATTATCAGCTATCTATGGAAATTCATTCAGCAATTCAAATCCTTTCAACAAAAGGAATGGCTCTGGATTGGTCTCTATTGACGTGAATGGAAAGAAAAAGAAAGCATTCAACATTGAAAAGGTTAATCGAACCATGGACGTCAAGATGTACGAGAAGAACAACTCCTCTAGCTTAGTCGGCCCTGCTAGAACCAAAGACTATTCATCAAAGAAGAGCCCCAATAACGCTAAGAGAAACCTGAGCATGGGAAGCAATATGACCTATGATGAGAGAAAAAGTAGGGGTTTAAACTCAAGTAATTCTCTAGGCCTTGAAACAAAAATGAACCTTATAAAGCAATCCAATGCTTCTCAGTACACTGGGTTTAGAAATCCTCGTTATAAGCTTAGGTCGTTGATGACTAAGGGCAGGAGGTCTGCTTCTCGCCGTAAAAGCTCAAATAGTAAAAAGAGAGCTCACAAACAAAAGATTACTTCACATTACAAGCAAAAATTTCCCTTAGATAACAAAATGAGAAAAGCAAGTGAGAAGAAGAGACAGCTTCAGATGAGAGCCAGGCTTGCCAAGAAATTATCTGGCATCAAATCTAATGATGACTACAAGCAAGAGGAGGAGGAAGAAGATATCCCAACTAACGAGGCTGCTGATGAATCTTGAGAGTACAATATCCCTGAGCCAGGTGAGAAAATAGACTTCAACCAACCTCGTGAAAAAGAAGATGAAGAGGTCATTTCTAATAATCCTGAGGATTGAAAATATACTATCTTCAGTGGCGAAGGAGAGATCCTTGGGACAGCTGGCGAAACCCAAAATCACGACACAAAGTCAAAGAAGATGTCCAGTTCTGAATTAATTCAGCATCTGACCAAAGAGAATAAGTCCTTGAAGGAGTATATAAAGAAGATTTTGAAATCCTTTCAGAAATTTAAGCATAACCAAAGTATAACAGTTGAGAAAGACAGTATCAAAATTTCTTCTAAGTAATTTTTCAATATGCCCTTGTAATGACGGGGTTTTGGGGTTTTGGGGTTTTGGGGTTTTGGGGTTTTGGGG